TACGTACAGAGTACTCTTGCTGTACGACTCTGCTTCTGGAACGGTACTGCATACTACACACTGCACACTGCACACTGCAGCCTTTCTACCTGCTGCCCACCACACGCACGCCGCCCCGACCGCCCGCCCTTCGCAGCAGTCAGTCCAGCAACTGTTCCGTGCCCTCTCCTGGATCCTGAGGCCGGTTCCGTGTCGTCCTGCGCTCGCGTGGTCTGCTGGTCTGGTTCGGGCACTTTGGTCTGGTCTGGCGTGGTCCGTCGACTACCCGTAACCTCTTTCTTTCTCCCTGCGTCGCCATGGACGACTACGATCCAAACTCAATCCCCCCTATCCCCCAGCGCTACCGGAATCTTCAAACCCCTGAACCTCAACCGCGGAACCGCTCTCTTCCACCACCTCCTCCGTCGCGCCACGCCGATGCTGTTCCCAGCTCTCCCGAGGTCATCTCTTCTCTCATCACCAGCTTTGCCGTCATAACCAAGCCCGCCGATCAACACTTTGAGCGCAGCACCCCGAGCCTCTCAGTTCCCGCAACCCCTCGCCAAGGCAGCTTTGGAGTCGACTACGGCGCCTTTCACCAGCCCTCCCTCGAACAACTCCGGAAAGAAGACCTGCCACTCGACGAGATCGCTGCATCCGCCCCCGTTATTCGAACCGCCAAACCACCCTCCGGATTCTCGCCCTTGACCGCCCCCAAGTCCTCACCCGCCCGCGACGGATCCGGTGGCCTCAAGTCCCTCTTGCGAAGTTCTTCGAGACCCTCTTCCAAAGGCTCACTTGGGTCACGGGATGATGCGCAGAGCATAGGCAATCTTTCTGTAGAACGTGGCTCTGCGCCCACCCCAGAGCTCAAGAGACAGCGCTCATTTGACAGTTGGGGTAAGAAGCAGGGCAGAAGTCACAGGGGATTGATGTACATGAGTTCCAAGGAGCGACTACGAGAAAAGGAAGAGAAGAAGCGCGCGAGTATTGGCGACCGCAGTTCCAGCAGCTTCACCGGAGCCTCCCTACGACCCGATCCCTTCCTAGCCGAGACGCCCATCAGCGAAGAACCTACCTACACACCAGACTCTCCCACCCGTGGAAGCGCCCGCAAACACCACGAAATGGCGAGCCCAGGCCCCGAAACCACCACCAGCCCTAGAACGATACCCGCGCGAGACTCGTCTCTCTTCAAGACGGGAGCGAATGCAAAGAGATCCTCTACGAGATCCTCTAGATCAAAGAGAGAAAGCGCCAATAGCACCAACGAAATAATATTTGAAGGAGAGGAACAGACCTCTTCAAGGGAGGCACCGAGGCGGAAACACTTGTCTCGCCACGCTTCCGAAAACGACCTCGCTAGAGCATCGGCCGACGCATCCGGAAGGTCTTTCAGCCGCCCATTCTTCGAATCCAGGCATACCGAGAATTTTCTATCAACGAGACCGTTATTTGAAGAAGAGGACGTGGAGGATAGTGCACCGTTCCCCGCTGTCGCTCAAGGTCGTCGTCGGGATGAGCAGATCGCCGACCGGAATAGTAGGCGCAAATCAACACGCGAGGCCCCAGACGCAGGTGAAGCCATCAAGATGAAGCGCAGTAGCTCCAGGCTCAAGCGGCTATCTCAGCCGCTGAGTCCCAAGGGAGATGAGTCGCAGGCGAGCTCACGCAACTCGGCAGCCTCGCCCGATCCACGCAACAGCATGCCAGCAGGGTATGAGCGTCCCCGCAGTGCAGACTCGATTGACGACGCCGTCGAGTCGTATCTGTGTTCTCCTCGCCTGTCACAAAAGATCCGACACCCGCAGACCGGGCGTGTGATTTCTTTTTCCGAGGTGGGAGATGCAGATGGCTCGGCTGTGTTTTGCTGTGTGGGGATGGGATTGACGAGATATATCACGGCCTTTTACGACGAGCTCGCGTTGACGCTGAAGCTTCGCCTCATTACACCCGACAGACCTGGCGTGGGCGATAGCGAGTCGTACGCCGATGGAACCGCGACGCCGCTCAGCTGGCCCGATGACGTTTATGCCATTTGTCAGGCGCTGAAGATTACCAAATTTTCGATTCTCGCCCACTCTGCCGGCGCCATTTATGCGCTGGCTACTGCTCTCCGAATGCCCCAACACATTCGGGGCAAGATCCATTTGCTCGCGCCCTGGATCCCGCCGTCCCAGATGAACGTTTTTGGCACGTCGCAGGCGTTACCACCAACCAACGCGATTCCTACTTCGCAGCGCATCCTGCGAGCGCTCCCGACGACTTTCTTGAAGGCTGCCAACAGCTCGTTCATGTCTGCGACGAGTAGCTCCATCACCAGCTCGCTGCCCAAGAACCCTAGACGCAGCAAGCGTAAATCCACCGCGACCACTGGCCGGGACACCCCGGCGACGCATGGGAGCAAGCGGGACACGACACCCCACCTCGACAAGGAAAACCTTGGCTTGAATTTTGATCGCAACAGCACGGGTGACGACCTGTCTGGCAGACCCACGCTGCCCGCCACAGAGACCATGGATAGAATCAGGCCAACCGGCACGGCATCAGCGCAAGGGCACTACGATGCCGATGCACAGGTCATTGCTGCTGCGTCGGATGCGTTGATGGATAAAGAGCGTCAGACAATCTACGACACGAGATTGACGCACGCCATTTGGGAGCTGGCCACAACAGGAGCGAACCCCGCCGTCGACCTACTGGTCTGCCTAGAACGCAGGCATACGATTGGTTTCCGGTACGTGGATATCACACGGCCTGTCGTTATACACCACGGCAGCCGTGACACCCGTGTGCCTGTTGACAATGTCAAATGGCTTGGCAAGACGATGAAGCGCTGCGAGGTGCGCGTTCTCGAAGGCGAAGGCCACGGCTTGATGGCGAGCGCTGGTGTCATGGGCGCGGTGCTCATGGAGATTAGCAAAGAGTGGGATGACTGGCTGCGAGCCACTTCCAAAAAGGACGACCGCGGCCGGAGAACTGGTACGCGGTAAAGGGACCTCGATGTTGAGGTCAGGGATTCCCCCATTTTACGGTCATATTTTTCTTATTTCTTTCTTTCTTTCTACCTTGGACACTTGAATGACCTTGAACCATTGATGATTTGACCTACACCTCTGATTTATATCCAATACCTACGTAGGGGGGAGTTTTGTAATTATTCTCGGGCGGCCCATGTACGATGCGTGGCTGGATACCTTTTTGTGTGGCATTGGCGTCGAGCGCGTCTGCAGGCTTAGGGCGGGCTGGTTGGTTGATTGGGAGTCCTGGGGACGAGCTTCGAAGGGGTTCCGAAGCCGTAAGGGAAAAGACACCAGGGCCGGCAGGGTTATTTAATGAAGCGGCCATTGTTGAAGAGCATTGCTCCATAGTATACAGCAGTAGTACAGCATCGGCTTGTTTTACCGCACAGCAGCTGCGGACAAACACCGAGTAATGTGTTAATACGATCTCCTTTGTGGAAAATCTGTCTTTTGGCAATGTCTGACGACTTTCTTGTGGCTCTTTTCCTTTTATGAGTGCTAGACTGACTACCTTGTTGCCTTGAAGTCGTCAAGGTTTCATTGCCTCTGGAGAACCCTCACGAACCATCCAGTGTCGTTACTCGTTTGGATCTCACAATGACTGCATACATAATTGAACATGTAGTAAAGGTATCGTAGATGATAGCCCACCTGCTACGGCCCACCAGCATGGAATGAGAAAAAAAGTCTCTCAGACACATGCGCACAGCAGTCAATCTTTCAGAGGGACGGAAACTTGACATAAGACAACCCTCTCATAGCATAGCAACTTCCATGTAAGTTGCACAACAGCCACAACAATTTCTTAATGCCGCTTCCCGCTTGACTGATGTCAATCTTATCTGCGGCTGAGTCCCAGTGCGGATCTCGATCCAAGACATGCGCACGCAAGCCCACCCGCCCCAATATCCACCCGCATATCCACAGAACCTCGTCCAGCCCAACTTAGTCCACAACCAGAACCTAGATTGTCATCAAATCAGGCGAAGTGCCAGAGTGGTTAATGGGTGTGCCTCGAATTAACTCTGTGTTTCCAGAGCGTTGTAGCACATGGCTTCGGTCGCGCAAGTTCGAATCTTGTCTTCGTCGATTGTTTTTTGGTAGTTTTGGTTGGGTTTTGGGGGTATTTGTATGGTTATTTTTTTTTTTGCCCTTTTGCGCTTGAGCAAGGACCCACTGGGCCTACCTAGCTTTTTTTTCCAGTTCTCATACTCTCTGATTGCTCTGTTTGTGTTATGCCGTTGCTGGCCGACCTGAGGAAATCAACTTGGCCAACTTCAAGTGAGAGATGTCACCTTTTACAAGGCTAGAGGTATCAGGATAAGAAAGTGATGGAGAGATGACATCCTGCTATGGTCTAGACTATTTAGAGTTGTGTTGGACACTTCCTCAATTAGATTTGCTTTTAGACAATACACCCCCTTCTGCCGGGCTGGCCTTGAACTCTTTGCTCCTTGTCCTGCCTATTCCCATCAGCCCCCCTGGTAAAATCCAGGGCAACAAAAAAAAAACCGCAGACCAGCGAGGACTAATACTGGAGATAATACTGGAGAGGGCGGGACCTAAGAGAGCGATTACAGCTGAAATCTAATGAACTCTAGAAGATTGTCTATCACTGACCAATTTGTGGACCGAATAGTCAGGGTAAGTTTTGTGCAGGTCGAGGAGCAAAGGAAGGCAGAACGTCGACCCTGCGATATGTATGATCAAGACGGACCGTCTTGAAGCAAGCTTTCGGGCCATGATTCTCCAAGACCAGCTCCGGACCGGTGCGACGGAGCAAAGTGGGGTCAAGCAGTCCGCGATGAGGTCGGAATGCAGTCCGGCCATGGACGTTTAGGGAAACAGCCTCCTTCCTCTACGGTGTGCTTGACGTTTGATTGATAACCTAGGTTTCAACGTTCGGAGAAACACTCTCAGGTCTCACTCATCTCAAGATACCCTGTTCGATGCAGCTCTGGCGCTAGTTCATGGTGGGACGCAAAAACCGACACACCCATGCGGCGCTACGTCATGGCTGCCAACGTGCGCCTGGATGATGCTGCTGCTGCTTATTTACGACGCGCCCTCCCATTCAACAGCGCAGCTCTATCACCAGAGCCATGAGTTCTTTACCGAGTCGCAGAGTCTATCGCTGTTCTCAATCTTGAGACTGACATCTTCATCAAAGACGTTGGCTTCGTTCCCCTCGGTCGGACTCACTCATCCGGCTCTCACTTCACTTACACCTGACCACAGCCAAACTCATCTCATCTCACAACAACAGCTCACCTCATCCGTCACACTCAACGCCATGGACATCCTACTCTCCCTCCCGATAGTCTCCTACTTCCTCGCCCCCTCCATAACCTCCTGGACGACCTCTCTCAACCTCCTCTTCTTCTACATGACCTGGACAACCCTCGTCCTCTCCCATGGTCCCCTCAAGATCCAGTTTCTCGGCGCCGTAGCCATCCGCCTCATCCTCTGGCTCATCCCCTCCCTCGCCTTCCTCCTTTTCGACACCCTCCTCCCCTCCCTCTCCGAGTCAATAAAGACAGCCGGCGCCGCAGCCCTCCCGCCAACCCACGGCCCAACCCTCCTCAAGACCCTCGCCCTCGCCCTCTTCAACCTTGCCCTATCCGCCGCTCTAGAGGGGGCCACAAGCCTGGCGTACGCATCCTACTTCCACGAGCCCCTCTTCCGCGCATCCTCGGCCCTGCCGCTGCCGTTCCAGCTCCTGAAGCACGTCGCCTTCCTCATCGTCGCGCGCGAGGTTCTGACATACTACATCCACACGCGCATCTTACATTCCCGCGGCAGACGCCTCACTTCTACGCGTGTAGGCAAGCTTCATGCTTCGTACGCCCATGCTCGCGCCGCGCCGCCGTTCTCGCTGATGCTCTTCGCCGACCACCCGATCCCGTTCCTGCTCCACCGCATCGTTCCTATCTTCGTACCGGCCGTGGTTCTTCGTCCCCATCTGTTGACTTACTTCCTGTTCGTTGGGTTCTGTACCATCGAGGAGACCATGGCTATGTCTGGGTACAGCGTCGTTCCGGGTATCGTCATGGGCGGAATCACGCGTCGGACAGCGATTCACTATGCGGGGCAAGGGGACGGAAACTTTGGTGCTTGGGGCGTGTTGGACTGGGCTCATGGCACGAGCGAGGGGCAGGACGTGATTGATGATATGAAAGCCGAGGCAGAGAAGCACCGAATCAAAGAGCGGAGTGAGAGGGCGGCCAACAATGGTGTTGGATTCGTGCAAGGTGGCATCCAGGAGTTGAAGAAGGGCCGCGGACGCAAGGGTAAGAAGAGTAACTAAGGAGGATTTTACTAGTTTCTTATTTCTTTCCTTGTGAGTTTGAATGGCTTTGCTGTGCGTTGAATGCATTTGCTTCTTATCTGTTTCGAGGATACCCCCCCCCCCCCCCAAATCGCCAAACACGTCTAAGTATCTTATATATATATACCGACGAAGTCTACACCAAACCGTGTGTTCCAGTCCGCCAGGTTCCTGATCCAATGCGCCCAAAGGCCGGCTCCTGTATATGTGTAAAGAAAATCCAGTGAATCAAAATGCTGCCTACCACCCTTCTATGCCCAGTTGTTCTTCTTCTTGAACCACTTGAGCGTCTCCAGCGCCGCCTGCACACGCATGCCCAACCTGGCATCAAACACAAACGCCTCCCACGCGACGACCTTGTCGAGCCACTCCTGGCACTCGTTCATCTTCTTCTTGCGGTAGTCAGCCACCGCCTTGACCTGACCCTCGGCGTCTGTGGGCTCGTCTGCCGCGGCCTGACGCTTCTCGGGTTGGCAGCACTCGAACCAGGCCACGGCGGCCATCTCGTAGTGGGCTGTCGGCAGGGGATACTCGTCCTTTGTCGGGCCCTTGAATGCCGCTCTGTCATGTCGTTAGTATCAGTCTTGCAAGTATCCCTTCTCAAAGGTGACCATCCAACGTACCTGTCTGCGTTGAGTACTTCCGTCTGCAGAATTGTCCTCGCGTCCTCGAAGCGTCCCAGGGTCCTGTAGATAGCCGCAAGGCAAATCGACCGGATGGAAGCCTCGTCGGGCGTCTTCTTGACCTTCTCCAGGGCCTCGGCCGGCAGAGTACACCGCTCCCATCCCAGGCTCTTGATTGACATATGCAGCTCCTCGTCGTTCATCCTCTTTGTACCATTCCACAAGCTGACCATTTCCTGCGCGGGGCTGACGCAGACGGCATCCGCCAGATCGACCTTGAACTCCTTTGCGCGCTCCTCCCACTTTTGAATCTTGCGCGTGATGAAGGTATCAAAAGGCAGCTGGCGCGCCATAAACTTCTTCCGTCCTGCCGTCGTCGGCGCCTTGCGGAACAGCTCCTCGGCCTTCTTCTTGCGGCGGCGCATCTCGTCCTCGTCCTTCTTCTCGGCGTGGAAGGCGTCGCGGTACAGTTCCAGCTCGGCGCACCCAGCCATGTAGTAGTACAGCGTGTGGCTCCAGTCGTTGAGCTCGAGGCAGCGGAGGAACGTCTTCTGCATGAGCTCCCAGTCCTGATGGGACATGGCCGCCAGAGCGAGCTCAAAGGCGTTAAGGGCCGTGACCTGACGCATCTTGGACTCCTGGCCTGTCGTGAGAAGTTTGATGGCGTCAGCGAGGTTGCGCTGCTGCGCCAGGACGCGGGCTTCCTCCACGCGCCAGAGGCGGGAGTCTGGGTAGCGCGTCCGCATGGAGGCGAGGAGGGCCTCGCACTTTTGCGCGGGGTACCCGACCATCTCGGCGTCTGCGTCAAAGTCCCGTTCCGCGGGCGTGATGTCCGCCTGGCCCAGCAGCCCGTTGTAGTAGCCCAGGAGGATCAGACCGGACACGGCGCCGTTTAGGTTGTCGAACTGGGTGCTCTTCCAGAGCATGCGCACGCCGCGCTCGCGGTCGCCCCGGAAGCCGACAACGTACAGTAGGCGAGAGAAGGCGGGCGGGACCATACTGAGCATGAAGAGCAGCATGCCGAAGCACATGTTTGCACCGCTGTGGATGAATGCGTCGACGGGGTTCGAGAAGACGCCAGAGTCGGTGTCCGAGTCGTCGGCCATTTGCGAGGATACCTGGAGGGGGGCAAGCTTGGCATCGCCTGAGGGTGTTGATGTGCCGGAGTCAAGACTGAGCGCGGCCAGGTCCTGCGCCGGTGCCTCCAACGTCGCTGAGCCGTTCACCTTCTTCTCTGCCGGGGTGACCGCTCCCGATTTGGAGACCTCGTTGGCGTCTACAAACTCAATATCGCTATCGGACTTGCGCTCCAGGTCGGCAAACTCCTCGTCGTCAAAGCTGCCGGGCATCTTCTCCTCGCTCATCCGTTGCCGCAGCGGCGGCGGGTCAGCCTTGTTCTTGTCCTTCTCCAGCGCCTTGGCCTCCTGCATCATGATGCTGTCAAGGGTGACAAACGCCTTGCGGAGCTTATAGAACCCCTTCAGAGCTTCCGTCAGACTCTCGTGCAACACGGCCACGACGGCCGCCATGAGCTGCGACTCGGCATGGATGAGCAGGAACTCGGTGCCCGGCGCGTAGATCCTACTGCTCGTGGCGTCCCGTTCTGCCTTTTTGTAATCCGCCCATGCTTTAGCTTCCGTGTCGGCCAGCCGTTTTGAGGCCTCGTTCATGACCTCCTTTTCGAACCCGAGCACGGAGCGGAGGAACGTCGTCATGGCCAGGCCCAGCTGGTGGAAGGCCGAGTCGCCCTTGCGCAGACGTTCCTCGGCGCCGTCAATGTCGTCGTTCATGATGAAGGCGGCGGCTACCATGGCCTCTTCGATATCGGCCATTTCCTTGGCGGAGAGCTCCTTGGAGGAGAGGTTGACTGACGACGCGGCCGGGCTCGCATTGCTGCTTACCTTGCCCGCCGAGCGGAACCACGAGCCCAGTCTACTCATACTGAAAGCGCGATGAGAAGGGCCAAGAGTGAGTGCGTATGTATTTCCTACGGGCAGAATGCAACGTGGCCCAACTACAAGAAGAACAAATATTCACGGCTTGGGTTGTCACTGAGTCGGGACCTCGGGAAGTTGACGGGGATGACTAGAAACCGGAAGTGCTCCGGCGAGTCGCTGACAGAGTGTGAGAGTGAGAGTGAGAGAAGCTCGCGGTAGGCAAAAAGGGCCGTGGATCCCCAGCGGCGGACTTTGGGCGCTGAAACAAACACGGGTCGACAGAGTCCGAATCTGGAATGCCGATTGGCGAAGGGAATGACGTCTTTTGCCTAGTTTGGCCGCCTCGTGTGAGTGAGTGAGTGAGTTGGCTTTGTTTGGTGTGCTTGTGGGTGTCTGTGAGTGCGAGTGTACCAGTCTGGAGCTCTCTGGTGGAAGCTTCGATTTCGTCCCTATTTTTTTTTGGTGGCAACCCGGAGCTGGCTGGGAATAAAAAACGGACGCAAGGGTGCTCGATAAATGGCGCTGTTCGGCGAGGATAGATGGAGACAAAGACGTGGGAAGCTAAAAACTGAGATGGAGAAGTGAGAGCCGAAAGCGGTCGAGAGCGCGTGCTCAGTCACTCAGTGAGCTTGTGCTGCTGGTGGATCTCTTGCTTGTGGAAGACGAGAGCTCTTAGGATCAGAAGAGATGTCCGGATGTCCTCGGTATCATGGGGTAAAGGCAAGGCTGGAGGACGAGCTCTTGCTGGTGACGACGTTGACGTGACTGCTGACGATAAGGTGAGAAAGTTAGAAAGGCTGGCTTAACAACAACAGCATGAGGTAAGAAAAGGGAACAAATAAGCCAAGCCACGGCAAGGCATGGTCGAGTACATGCATGAAAAAGGCTTAGGTGAGCGGCGAGTGAGAGCGCATCTCAGTTGTTGAACAGGTCAGGGGTGCACGTACTGAACCAGTGAACAGTACGCAAAGGTGATTACCTTCAGTAATACAGAAGCGGCGTCAGTTGGGCCAAGAGTTCGCAACGACCGTCATTGACAGGCAAGAGTGAGATGGGCCAGGGGTGCTTTGACAAAGTGGGTGTAGTATATGCGGTGAGCGTTGCGCGTTACCGTACAATTTACGAAGAACTGCCAAATACACGTATCCGCGGCTCCAGGGCATGAAGAGGTAAGGTCGGAGAGGGGTGACCGGGCCTTAAAGCAGTTGTACCTTCGATCCAGGTGGCGCGGGGCACGGGGGAGGGAGGTTGAGAGAATGGGCTCGGATGGGTTCCTAGAGCTGGAGCTAAGGGTTATTCGTTCATGCGCCGGCGAGTCCACCGGTCGAGAATTGGGACGGGGGTGTTGCTGGATAGGATGGGATAGGATGGTGCCGGTGCTCGTGAGCGTTGTGTAGATGTATGTTGGTTGGTGTAAACATTGAGTCTATGGGTACAGAGACGACTCTAGAGAGAACCTGTAAGGCGTTGCTGTAGGCAGATCCGGCTCCATCGGCCGGAGTATTATTCTCTTAAAGAGAGGCGCAGCTCCGATTCACGAACGTACCCATACGGAAGTTGTGGTGAGCTCTTTGGAAAAAGCTCTAGGTGAGCAAGCAGGGACAGAGAAATTGGCCGGTCTTTCAAGCATCGGGCCTGGGAAAAGCGGCCAATTCTTCTGACCCCCCCCCCCCC